GGTCTTCAAACTTGGAAAAACAAGTTCAGTGCATTGTTTTTTTAACTTTTTTTTAAATGACTATGACCTGCATGACTGAGAATCTTCACCAGCAATGAAAAACACAAAAGAAATTATAAAGATGATGCTTTTCTTCTATAGGGTATTGTTTTATGTCAAAAAAGAAAAACAAATAATAATGATAACACACATAATTTCCAAGCTAATTAAAAGTAAAATAGCCCTTAAACATATTTTTGGTGCTTTTAAAGTAACTCTGGTGTAAAAATTCAGCTAAAATATCCTTTATAATAAACAGAAATGCTTGTAAGAGTGGTATTTCTTATTGTAGTACATTAGTTATTTTTTTCAGTTCCTATTAAGAGTTCAGGGGTCACATGTACTTGTGGCTCCTAGGCAGCAGGTTACAGATCCCTGCTCTAGGAACTTGCAATCCTTGCACTACTTATGTGTAGGCACTTATTTTCTTATTAAAAAAGTCTGATATGGTTACCTACTGAAGCTCATTTAGGTCCACAGAAGGTCCACTCTGTGTTCATAGAGATGAAGCCTGTTCATTTCCTCTACTTTCCCATGTTGAGCCTTGCTGTTGCGACTTGTTTTAATCAGGAATCCAGGTTTAGCTCCCTTCAGTCTGTCGTTAGTGTTTTTGTGTCATACAAGATGGCTGGCGTATTTTTACAAGCCCTGTATCACTCTTTGCTGAACAACTTGAATTAAACCGTTCGTTTATTCTGCATGTTATCTTATCTTTCTTATCCATCTTATATTTCTTATATTTTAGCCTCCATCAAAGAGGAAGACGCAAACCCCAACTAAAGCTGAACAGAGCCAACTATTGGACCTTTCAAGGAAAGCAGAGTTCAGCCTTCTGCTGGACCTTTCTAAGCCGCTCCCTGAAAGTAACGAAACGGCAACGGAAGCCGAAGAGAGCCAACCACTGGACCTTTCAATGAAAACTGTAAATAATCCACCACTGGACCCTTTACAGGATCTCCCTGAGAGCAAACCTCAGCCCAATGATGTGAGTATTTCTATTTGATATTTCCCATATAGTTCATGGCATAATTACTCTGGTCATGTCGAAAGAATCCTCCGACTTTATTTTCAGAAATACATAAGTGATTAAATTAACACACTTTTTCACCGACACACCCAAACAAAGTTAAAACCGTGCATCAAACATCTGTGGTTGGTTTGATATATATTTCCTTCCTTCCATTAGGACCACTCCTATGCTTTGCCCTGTTCACCCACTCTAATAAAGGCCAGACTCAGTGATGCTTTGAATAGAGTGGAGATTCTAGAGCAGGAGAACCTGAATGCCAAGGCCCGAGAGCAGAGGGCAAAGAAATACATAGAGAGACTCCTGGATGATCTGAAGAGAAAGAACCTCACAAATACCTGAAAGAAAGGATTCCAAACAGGTGAAATAAATTGAAAATAACTTAAAATTTTTATGTTTTTAAGTCTTTGTCAGACTTTATAAAGGTGTTGTTTCTTACTATCTTGCTAACTAGTTTGCTTTTACTGAATTTCAGATCTTCATATGGATGGAGGGGCAAAGAGAGTTCGTCCTCCTGTTGCACCTTCTGGCCCCAGAGCAAGCAGCTGCCTGGAAGGGGAGGGGAGGTGGGGGGGTCTATGCATCCTCCCCTCCCACGTCCACAAGGGAAAGCTGTGCAATACAGTGTTTTTTCCAGGCAGGGTAGGGCAGGACACTGGAATCACCTGGAACTTATAAAGATTAATTTACCAAGCCTTTAAAAAGAACAGTGTCGTGCGTGAGGGTGACGCAGTGTTTAGTCCGCACCCAGGTACGGAGGCCCTAGTCCTCGAATTCAAATCCGACATGTTGTCCTCTGCCGCCTGTCTCTCCCCCTCTCTTAAACACCCTTTTCTGTGCTCTTTTTATTAAAGAGCACAGAAGAATGTATCCCGGCAAGAAAACAAATATTTTTAATTTGTTACATTTCAGTCGTTACAAACTGGTGAGAAAATCAGTTAATAATTCAGGGAGTTATAGTTTTAGTCAAGCATGTAATTACCGGAATACAAATTAATTCACTGGAGATCAGATCCAAGATGGCAGCCGTGTTGATGTTTTTGCTCCAAAAGGCGTTTCTGGTCCTTGAGGTGTCGAATTGTAGGATGCCCCTTGCTTCATCCATCCTTTTGTCATTTGATTTTTTTTTTTTTTTTATTGTCGAGTTCTGGACTAAATTAAGACTGAGTATGACCAATGTGAGTGACTGAGTCCTCTATATGGCACATAATAAAACATATCAGCCTGTAAATGTTTGTTGAGTGATGGTTAAATTATTCAGTTATTTAAGGAGCAAGAAATCTCAACCCTTATGTTCATTCATCATATGTAATCATCGCTAAGTGTCAGAAAACCTGTCGGAAAAGGATTTTTTTGTGTTTTAGAAAGAATGTGATTTTGAACGCGTCCTTTACCTCAACAGGAACTTCAGTTTTGGATTTATTGAAAAATGTATGCATTCATGGAGTCTGTAATGTTTTCAGTGATATAAATGTGGCTCAGCAAGCAGAGGTGGGTAATAACCAGTTAATTTACTGTTTTTTGAGTAAATTGTTGACAGTAGTATACTTTGTTCAGCTGCTCCCACCATCTTAACTTCACTGAATGATAAACAACCTGGTTCATAAAAGCAGCAAGTTCCAGATAAAGATCCATGTTAATGTCTAAATGAGGGCTCCTTTTTTTTAGAATAGAAAATAGAATAGAATGGAAAATCCTTTGCCACAATGGGGAAATTCTTGCAACCAAGCTTAATTGAATCTACATCGCATTAGGAGGTAAAGTTTATATTCAGCAAGGAGTAAAGATTGTCACTGGAGGTACTCTTTTCATAAATTTGTAAAAAACAAAACAAGTGTTTCTTCTGTGTGAAATTGTTATTATTCATTTACATTTTTTTGTTTACTTGAAATGTTTTGTTATAGTCTTTAAAATACCAGAGTTAGCACATATTTCTACATTTTGGTCTGTATATTACATACGTTTATGAGTTACTCAGTACTTTTGCAGCTGAGGCATGGCTAGTGTGCTGGTGCTTCCCAGCACCTTAAAATTTTTTTTTAAACAACTCATTTTGTGACATTTCTTACACAAATGCATTCTTAAAGCTATTCAAGTAGATAAAGTAAAAAATATTTTAGTAGGTCTAACTCCAATGTTACAACCTTGTCCATGCCTGCCAAGTTAGTATTTGACATTAAGGGAATCTTATTAAATCTGCTGCGTGCTGTCTAACTGCCCCAGTGAAGCTCCAGTATCCATTAGCTGTATTTTAAGAAAGATCCGCAAGAAATCTAAAATAACCAATTTCAGGCTACAATTAGGTGATCAGATATTGACTGGCGATACTAGCAACCTTTCTGCTTTAGGAGGTAGATGAACTTTTTTTTTTTTTCAATAATTTATACTACGGGAAATTTTCAGGAGACTGCTAGTGGGAGAAGACAGTGGCGGGCAAACTGGGAGACTGATCATTCCTGCCATGCCAAACGTACAGGTTTGCTCAAAAGTTTACATACCCTTCCATGAAAGACAGAAAAAAAAATCAGCTATCAGTAAAATAAATTTAAATTGACAAAAGTAATAAAAAGGATAAAAAGTGGAAATCATTACATTGATTTGGAAAATCAATGAACCAAATATATATATATGTGTATGTATATGTATACATATATATGTGTATGTATATGTATACATATATATGTGTATGTATATGTATACATATATATGTGTATGTATATGTATACATATATATGTGTATGTATATGTATACATATATGTGTGTGTGTGTGTATATATATATATATATATATATATATGTGTATCATGTGTATATATCTATATATGGAATTATTTTTTGAAATAATTCTATAAATCAGTATTTGATAAATAATCATTTAGTACATTCTTATTTATTATTACCTTTTTCAGTTTTGTGTTATTTGAAATACTAGAGTGAATTTATCCTTTGATGGAAGGGCATGTAAACTTTTAAGAACATCTGAATGTTTAAAGTCTGTCCTAATGTTTGTTAAAAGTCTCATTTACAGAAGGATATTCAACTAAAAACTGCCATGAGCATTCATTAGAATTTGAGTCTAATTGGTTATCTAATTTCCAACCATAGAATGCTGCAGACAGGCTGTTGTGACCCTGACAGATAAGTGGAAGAGAAGATGGATTAATAATTGTTACCTGATATGTCCTGACAGCAGCCTTTCCCCCTACTTGGATTCTCGTTCTGAGTTAAACTGTTTCGTGATGCCTTAATGTGTAAAGGAGCGGTTCTTGGAGATTCTGACTATTTAAAATACTTGGTTCTCAGATGAAGACTCTTTGGAGCCTCATATTTACTGGTCTAAGGTCAAACCAAAATGTTTCAATGACTTTTTAAGATTCTATTATACATGTTGAGGACTGTTATTATTGTTAGAGACTAACATTCATGTTTACAATCCTCAAGACTGAAGAGCAAAAGGATAGAGCTAAAAATGTTGTTACTCAACGTCCACAATTTTAATTAAAAAGATTCAGGCATCATTGACCCATTTCAAGTGAAGGTTGTTTCTGCAAAGAAAATAAGTCTTGGTGGAGAAGGGCTCCACCAGTTTGAAGTGAAAAAGAGTGTCAGGGCTGATGGCAAAGACTGGACTCCAGTTTAACTAAAACATCTTTAAAGAGACTCTAAAGCAGGGGTCTTCAATTTTTTCAAGACCAAGGACCCTTAAACTGATGGCGAGAGGGAGCGGGGACCCCCTAACTCTATATATTGTATGAAATTGCATTATATCGACCTGGTCCTATAGTCACTCTATTACAGATGGAGTGATGTAATGAAAGTAATTTCTCCCTGGGATTATTAAATTATTTCTGATTCCTCATTGATGGGTCAGGTGTTGTGAATGAAATGGTGCCCAGCTTGAAAGAGCTCCTGTGTGTCGCTGAATGTGTGCATTGATGACTGAAAGACATCTTCTGCCTTCATTTATCTGTTTACTACAGGGGGTTGAATTTATCTCAATGTGTATTCAAAGACATTTCAATTAGTGGAAAAAGATGCAGGGGGAAATATAAAAACAAAAGTCCAATCAAACAAAACTTTCGCGACCCCCATGCAGTACCTCTGTGGACCCCCTAGGGGTCGCGGACCCCCTGTTGAAGACCTCCGCTCTAAAGATATATTTCCCAGCTGAAACATGCAAGAGAGTCTTTTTTCCTTGAGATTGTCAGTAACTAAACTAATACCGCATTTTCTGGAATATAAACCGCTACTTTTTTAAAAATTCCCTTTGAACCATGTGGCTTATATGAAGGTACAGCTCTTCTGTCGATTTACCAAAACCGTCTGGGGTAAAGGTCAAAATTGGAAACCAAAGAATACAGAGCTAATTTTCAATTCGCCAGTGCTAAATGAAAATTAGAGAACAAACTAGAGAATGAACTCACACTTTCTTACATTTATTTGCAGCATTAAAGCTGTTAAATCAATATAGACACTGTGAACAACTCCTGCAGATCTGAAATAAAGAGCTGACTATGACTCATTTTTATTAGAATTATTGCAATCCTTATTGCTGCGAGCAAACAAGCTAACAATAGCTAGCATTCTTCTTCCTCTCTACTCTAGGGGTGACTCTGTGGGGACAGTGTAAAGCTAATTACTACAGTATGTATACCACACTGGCTGGACTTATAAATACTTGTGAGGAAAAGTTTTCTTCTAAAGGTTTAGGACTAAGTTATGAAACAAATTCAGGTACAGTATGTGTTGGTTAGAGTATGTGTGGAATTAATGGAAGTCAATAGAAAGTTCAAATAAGAATAATAAGTGTCATGGTTGTATCCATCTGTGTTGCCCTACAATGGACTTATGACTTGTCCAGGGTTTACCCTGCCTTTTGGACAGAGGCTTTGGAGAAAACAGAAGAAGGTTATAGAAAAAAAACATACAACAACTAATCTCTTTTTGTAGTCTTGATGTTTTTTCACAGCTTTTGTTAAGAAAGATTGGCCTTCCTCTGGTTTGATGCAAATAATATACAAGTCCATTCTGTAAGGTGTTTTCCCCCAGGCGGTACTAACACAAACTATCAAACCATTGTTGTAAAGAAGTGATCTGCTGCTGTGAATAAAAACAAGGCACTAATCTCCAACCTTCCCATCATCAGAATGATTATTGAAACAATTTTTATTTTTCTAGGTTATTTTTGCAAGTCAAATTTACTGTTGATAAAAATGTCTGCAGCGAGAGAATTAAGTGTTTCACAAAACGAAAAGACAAAAATAATTATCCTCAAGCACAAATGTAGAGACATTATTCTATGGAGGTTTTTTATTGCAATGTAATGCCAATGGAAACACAACTATATTGTCAACCAATTCTGAGGCAAAGCAAGTTTATTTCTACAGCTTTTTTTAAATACACAACACGATCAAAGGTAAGCTTTAAAAGCCACGTTCTCCTTGCTGCAAGACAACAGTGCTAACCACTTTGCAAAAGTGTGGCTAAAAAAACATAAATTGACTGGTAAAAGTAAATAGAGGTACTACTTTCTACCTATTGGTGTTTATCCAGATAATGGTTCTTACCACTGAAAGCAGTCTTTCATGCATTTATCACAACCCTATTTATTCTAGATGTTAAGAATCTTAAAACTTTGGCAGAAGCAACAAATAAAAAGAAATTTCATCAATATTTCTAAGTCTCTCCCATAAATGTTAATATTTGTCTATCGAAAGAAAATTCTACGTAAGTGGAAAGAATGCCATGCAGGTTAACCTTTAAGAAGGGGGACGCAGCTTTTCTTCTAGTTAAGCTACTGCTTTTCTTCTAGTTAAGCTACTGCTTTACAATGGCACATGAAGTTTCTTTTCTCAGAGCAGTCTCTGGTAATCCAGTTTTCTTTGTTATGATTCGACACGGTGCCACAGTGTTTCCACTTGCTGGGGCAACCTGGCAGCGTCGCTTCCTGGTCCAGCATCTCTCCATCAGACCACCACCACTCCCCTCCCAGAAAGCGCAAGCCTATCCAAACCTGATAGACACAAGGCAAGAGTCGAAATGCAACAACAATCACAATAAATCCTCAAGACAAGTATGGTTTTGAATGAATGGAATGAAATTCTGGTTTATGCAATTTTGTTATCACAAAATATAAAGAAAAAAAAGACCTGATCGCTGGTGGCTCCGTAGATACGATTCCTCACATAGTCAAAGTCAGATGAACCAGACATGCTGACAAGGTCACATTTGTTGGATTCTGATGACATGCTCTTGCAGTGATTCATGGCATCCTCCCACATCTTGTTTTCTTTCACCAGCACCAGCTTATCATCATAGCACATCCAGTTTAGGCGTTCAGAGCAAACTGTGCTATGCCATTTTCTATCAGTGGTATTATAAGATCCACAGCCGGCACCTGATTGTGGTGGTGATGCCCAATTTGTACTGTTTGAAACATCATCTCCTGTCAAGCCATTACCAGTTCTGAAACAACACAAACAAAAAACACAAAAATGATGTGAATGAAATTAGCTACATTTGACATCCTTAATTTTGTTAAAATGCAAAGAGATTGAATGAAAACAGAAACTCACCTTACATCGATCATCCTCCAGATGGATGGGTGCTCAGGATCTTCTTGTAGACCAATCCAGACCGTTTCGTGGCTTTTTGACACCAACCAATCAGTCACCAGGTCCATGTCTACTGTGTCCCAGGTAACCATGTCTATATAGTTATTCTGGCAGTACTTTCTCGCTAGATGCCATGTCAGTGTCTGAGAAGGAATGGTTATGGTTTTGGGTATCTTTG